AAATGAGGTAGAACAGCATGTTGATTGGCTTCGGTATTGAAAAGTGAGGAAAATAGCCTTTGATCATTTCTGTCATGCCAAACATTTAGGCATGCGACTCAAAGGCATGGCCAAATAACTCATCGAATCTTTAAACTGCACTTGTCCCACTTGCATGGAAATGATTTTGGCTCCGTTCAAAGTCACTTTAGGACGTTCGGTGCTTTGTTCCGTATAGTATCTCAACAAAAACTGTCCATCGTATCCCAAGAAATTGTGAGCCATTACTGTGGCATAACGATGACAATCTCCGTAACGTTCGATATCTACTTGGCGTCCACGTTTCGTCGATAGGGTTTAAGACCCATTGGGCAAAATCGGTCAATGTGTTCGGTCCCCGAAAGATTTCTTTTCACGTCCACCAGGAATCTTGCTACGTGAGGGCAATGAGTCAAGATAGGCTCTTGGATGCATTTTTCTACGCTCGATGAGCCACACAGAAATTAGGGATGTGAATACCAGTTTCTTGCATGCATTCGAAATCGAAGAAGATGAAATTGCCTTTCTTCTTGTCCTCTTCTTTTTCTTCATGTTTAGAATGGTATTTTTGAATGTAGCATTGGTGTTCCAAGTCCACGATTTGGTGACAAATGTGACATCCTTTCTTTCCTGAAACGACGTGTGCCTTTGCACTGTTGGTACGTATGCCTTGTCCACAAGTAGGGCACAATCTCAGAAGTTAACATGCACATTTCCGCTGTGAACCTTGTGTCTTCAAATGTTGTTGGTAACATGCAGGACTGACAAACGTTCGCTGACAAGCAGAGCAATGCACTCGTTCTTGTCCTTCGTCCAAACAGGGTTTAGAGGCTAAACATCCCTCACATTTCGATCCGCAATGTTTGTTTTGCTCTCGATTGTTATAACCATAGTCACATTTCACACAGTAATAACCGTATGACAGGAATCCAGTGATACTGGTAATGGCATCAAAATGTTGATCGTGATGATAGATGTGAATGTATTTTCCGTCTTTGAAATCTTTGCCTCGAAACAACAGAGGTCCGCGCACTTCTTGAGTGTGCACTTTCAAGGTGTAACGTGGATCCAAGACATCTTGAAACTTTTGCATTTCAGGAATGCCACAGGGTGTGTCTTTAGGTAGTCCCGCTTGCTGTAACAGGAGTTCTGCCTCTCTTTGTTGCTTGGCTCGGTCCGATTGTTGAATAGTTTTATGCTCTTTTCCATTCTGTCATGTTATTCTTGTCGGCATACATTCGTCTCACTACAAGAGCACGGGATAAACACATTTTGTCTTGAGGATTGTTAATTTGGACGATGCTCTTGTTGATGCTGCGAAGGTTATCTACCAAGAACACTTTTTTGCGATGTACGGTCCCTTGGGAAAGAGAAACGTGGGTCATGAACAGTGTCGCTTTTCCGTCGGTGATCTGAAACTTGTGATGTGAAACTTGTCGTTGGATTGTTTAATCTTGTCGATGATTTTCGAAGATGTCAATTCTGATGGACTGCTAAACTCGATCCATTCGGAAAACTTCAATTTGTCGTGATAAATGGAAAGTTTCAAGCGATCGCCTTCTTTGGCTTGACATTGCTGTTTCAGATTCGTTAACAAAAAATCCCACACATCGGTAATGAACTCTTTTGCTTTCTCCAGTGGTACGTCGGACTTAAAATCTTTAAACTTCACCGTGTACATGTGGGCTGTATTTCTATATTTTTCTAGATGATCATTTGTCCGTCTCTCGAATGTGATAGTAATTTTTAGGGTTTACTGTTGGTATTTGATTTTGCTTTGGTGTAGACTCACTGGGTTTAGATTTTGGTTCACTCATTTCATCTTCAAGATCACTGGCATGAATTTGAGTCAAGACTTCGGCTACTGTATGAGGCGATAAATCACGTTTCTGCCTCTTACTTTCTTTTTCTCTCTCACTGAAATCGTGCAATTGCAAAAAGTGAAATGACTACATTTGAAATGGCATGGACCCTATATATTCATGTCAAATCGGTACATATATAAAGGGGCTAGTGCTTTCCCTCTCAGTATTCATTTTGCTCTCAAGCTGACCAGTACGATGGAAGAACCCACACAAATCAAACTTCTCATTCGAGCTTTACGAGGTGTCATACGAAAGTTTTCGTCAGACAATCCAACGGACTATTCTTCCTCTTTTCGAGATAAAAGTCAGGATACTTGCTATATCTGTAAGAATAAAGGGCATTGGGCTACAGAATGTGCAGACCGTCAAAAAACCAGTGTCGAAAAAGATAAAAGTCGAGATATCTGTTATCATTGTAAAGAGAGAGGACATTGGTCTTCAGAGTGCCCTAAGAAACAACAGGAGCAGGAGAAGGAGGAAGAAGAGGAAAAGGAAGAACACGAGACAGGAAGAGAAGAAGGAAACTGTGAAAGTGAAGAAATACACAAAACAGAGAGAGAGAGAGTGAAAAAAGACAGACACAGAAGAAGTCTATGAACATTTTTTAAACAAGTGTTGCGTTCTCTTGTGAATTGAATGGTAAAGAATTGTACCAGAATAGACCGGATTGAAAAAAACGTAAGTGTCTCCTGGTTTTAATTTTTTAGATTAAGAGTCTACATTCACGCACACACATACACACACATACATAAATGCATACATACATACTAAGGGTGATACAAGGGATTTTAGGTTTTCATTGATTTTTTGGCAAAATGAATATTATTTATTTTTGAAAGTAATGAGTGTTCCTGAAAAGGACCGTTGAATTTTTTGTTTCCTGAGAACACACTTAAGAACGAGAAGCAATTCGCTTTAATTGCTTTATGCCTTTACCACGGCCAAGGCCAAATTGTGGACTTGCTCTTGTCAATGATTGAGTAGAAATTACTAATGGTGGTATCTCTGGTGTAGTCACAGGGTTAGGCTGCTTAACTCGGGAAGGTCTTTTTATCTTTGGTCGTAATAAAGAAGTCTCAGATTTCTTAACTCCGCTAAAGTATCCAAGAGTATCGTGACTTTTGACTTTCACTGTTTTCCTTCTCACATGGACTTGCTTTCTTTTCTACTGCTTCTTCTTCTTGTCGATTCCTTCTCGTCTCTTCTTCTTCTTCTCGCTGTTGCTGTTCAAGCAGAAATGCTTCTTCTGCTTCTTTCTGTTGCTGTAAAAAATTCTCCAATTCTTCTTTTTGTCTTTGTCTAATATCGTCGATGCGTGGTAAAGAAGGAGAAATTGGTGAAGGTACTGGTGCCGGTACAAATTCTTGCAAAGAGAGAAAATCTACTAAATCCCAATTGAAATCAACCTCTTCGGTCAGTGACACTGTGTTCACTTTAGTAGCTGCTGCTATGCCATCGCTTTTTGCCTCCGCAGCTGGTGCACCCCAAGTCATTTCCTTCTTAAGTTCCGTCATGTTCGACTCAACAATGTCGCATCAATTCACTGTGCACAAACGCTAGTGAACGTATATAGGAATTGTGACGTCACAGGGAACTCTACTCGGATTGGAAGGCAGGCTCCGCGAAGTGACCGAATTTTTTAACGCGTATTGGGATTGGTCAACCATTTCAATCCGTTACGATCCAGTCTTTCCCTATAAATACACGCAGTTCACTTCATTCCCTTCACCTGTTCTCATCACACACAAAGATGTTGATGGATGTTAAATCCTCTACTTGGGTATCGTCATTGCTTTACGATTCGGAATTACCCGTATATACGAAAACAAAATGGACTGTCATCCGGATTAAGGGTGCCACTGTTTGGAAAAGAAGATGTTTTATGGAAAGACAAGGTTGTTTAAAGCGGACTCTGATCTTTGGACAAGAAGTGAGATGCAGTTTAAGACAAGCTTTGAGAACGAAAAGAGCACTGCGTTGTCCTGTATGTTAACGGCATGATGATCACATCACAAACAACGGCCCTTTTCAGGGCCACTTTTCATACCTCGAAAAGATTATACTTTTCAATAACAAATTGCCTGTATAAGTTATAAAACATACATTTCACTACTTTCACTAACACAACGAACGCTTAAAGTCACAGTTCTTGACGAATGCTTGACGTCACAATACTTGTACACTGTTGACAAGTGGCTGATGTCATGTCACCTGGGACCATTCCTCTTGAAACTATACAGACCCAGGGTGTGCTAATACAAAATTCCCCTTGACGCTATAGTACTTCGGCTGTGCCGTTTCGCGCCAAAAATCTTGACGCCAAAGTACAAAACAGCATATTTTAATGATAACTCCCATTGTCGCTATGTCGCCCCCATTCACTACCGTCAATTGAATTATTGATTAATAATTTCTAACCTGACTGTGACCAGAATGGCACTAAAAATGGCATCCCCTCTATCTTTCAGGCTTAACAGACTTTCTATACTAACACGGCGCTATGTGCCGTACATCATGGGGTAGATTATTTCCATACGACAACATAATGACGTAATTCATCCTATTCGGTAACTGCCGGATAATTTCGTAAATTACCATAACGTAGAGTTTGGAATTGTATTTGTTTTGCACACATGAAAATAATAATGAAACCGTTTGTTAAATCAAAGTTAAAGGCAAATTTTTTGATGTCATTCTTCTCCTTTGCTTGATTTCACACTATATTCGACATATGTATGTACATCTTTAGTCACGCATACAACCCTTTGCTGAATAGGAAATTGGTCTCAAGCATATCCTCTTTAATATTCAAAACTTCTGTTAAGCATGAAGCACGCAGATGATGACGGTTTTATGTCCATTTTACTCAGTCTACATGTTGTTATATTTTTATTTTCACGTAGCTTTAATATTTTATTCAGTCATATCGCTACGATGTATGCAGTGTGGCAGTTTATAGTGATGTCTAGCACTGGGGCATAATGCCGCAGACATGTAGCATGATGTTCCACCCAGTCACATTATCCTGACACCAGACCGACCAGTCCTAACAATAGCCTCTTAATTCAATGCGTTAGGCAAGGCAGCTGTTAGTACCATTTTTGTAAGTCTTTGGTATGACTCAAACGGGTATCGAATCCACGACCTCCCGCATCCTAGGCGGACGCTCTAGCCACTCTAAGTCAGTCTACAAACAAACGGGTTATAATACTCTTACTATAGAAAGTTTTATTTATCAATTGGGTCATATGTATATCTTAATTATCAAATTACATTAAGGTTTCTTTGGAAGGCATAATATTCTAGTGTAGTAATTACTGAAATAAATGGTCAAACAATTTGTGAAAATAATACTGATGTCTTCATAACAACAAATGTTCTAAACAGAAAGATTTTGATGGCGCATACCATCACAGCTCAGCAACTTGCGATAACCCATCCCCTCTGTTTTATGATGATAGTGATGACAGTGATGTCACTCATTTAAAAGCTTTATGTTACTTTTAATGCATGGCACTTCTGTTTATTCTTAATTTTTTTTACATAAACTGCCCGACAGGTTCGTTTCACTTGAATCCATTCGACGTGGTTGGTTGTTCTGATGTCACTATTCCAGGAGAAAACTTTTAACGTGGAATTGCCGCTAAAAGTAATGTACCTGTAAGAGTAGAGTTGTTAACCCTTCTCGAATAAAGGATTGGTTAATAGACTTGGCGATCCGTATTTAGAGTATGCCTCCGTCGAGTTAACTGTACCGTTGTGAGAGGAAAGAGAACATTTGCAGAGAACTGTTCAAGATTATGGATAAGACATAGAATGCAATTCCTGTAAACAAGACAATAAAATGAATTCTAATTAACTAATATATAACTAAAATTAGCATCTTCCATACAACAGATTTTCATTAATGGAATTTAATAGCAATGGTCAAAATAATGATTTTTTCATCTTGGTAACGAGCTGCGAAAAGAGCACAAAGTCCACGAAAGATTCGCATCACCTAACGTCGTTTCCTCTATCGATGCCATGTATCTCACATTGGTTCTTCCTTTGACCTTTTCCTTTCTGAACTCTTCCACTGTGTCCTTTCCCTGAAATGTCTTTACTGACATCTTTATGTTTCGGACATCACACTTGGGATGTCTTCATCAGTTTCTCAGAGAGAGAGAGAGAGAGAGAGAGAGAGAGAGAGAGAGAGAGAGAGAGAGAGAGAGAGAGAGAGAGAGAGAGAGAGAGAGAGAGAGAGAGAGAGAGAGAGAGAGAGAGAGAGAGAGAGAGAGAGAGAGAGAGAGATGTTCCATTAATGCTGTTTATTTTCCACACAAATCGTGCGAAGAAATGCTATCCATTGGTTCCCACGGAGTTGCCTTCTCTCAAGCAAATTTTCTGACTAAAGAATACTGAGCAAGGCCACCGCCTTAAAATATCCATTACTTCCTATGTATACGTCTTAATTTATTTGAGTAATTCAAATCAACTGTTCCTAAAATTGTCCACAACATAATTACCTCTTTCATCCGACTTGACAGTCTTCAATCTGCGAAATACGATGCAATAAACGTAACTTTTATCGACGCTTGGTTCTTTCGTGCAGTAATGAACTGTAGCTCTAATGTACTTTCTCATGATCGTGATACGGTCAATTCTACTGAAACGTGGATGTGGGCTTGTCCTGTTTAACAGATGTGGTAGAGAATTGTCAAAGTTACCTTTCCCAAAGACTTTCCTGGCTTGTCTATAAAAAGCGTTAATGCACGATTAATTCAGCGTTAAATTTCAATACCTCTTCATTGATGTTATACCCATGTTCCCATCCCTTATCTAGGTCCGAACACACATTTTCGGCATTCCCGCTCGACTACCGCTGGTATTTACATCAGACTGTGTATGTTATTTGGTGGTTCTGGAAATACAAGATGATAATTTTATTTTGATCAATGTCATGTGCCAGAACCAGCATCTCTCCTCTCCAGGAAGCTCGTGTCTGTCGACTACCGCATGTGTCGCTAACATTTGTCCACATCAATCTAAGATGAATTAGTAAAGGATCCGTATCCTTATATGCCAAAGTTACAATACCCTCTTCAATAATATAATAATACAAACCCACCTTGTTGATCCAATACGGTCTACGACAATTCGATCTGATCGTGTTGATCATAGAAACAGTTTGAATCATTTTAAAGCCGTTATAAAAAGATCGTGCCTTAGAGTGAGAGACGTTTTGGAGACAGCGATTTATTTTATTTTTACAGCATCACCTGTTAAACTGATCGATTATACTTTACTCCGCTATCCTACAAATTCCGCCATATTGAACCAGTTTGTCTCATGTTAACATTTTCAAATAATCTTCATGTCAGACTTATTGCGAAAAATTTCCAAAACATTTCATGACCAGGTGCAAATCGTACACTAACAAGTTATGTATTAACCCAAGACAAAATAAGGTTTCATTTTTAAAGTATACATTACATATCTGCCGGTGTTTGTGACAAAGATCCCGACACATGTTCTGATTTGGAATCGTGCTTAATCTGTCTGTGGTCTTGTAGTTCAGTTGAACAGGCAAATGAAATGTCAACTCTTCGGAGTTAGCGCCCAACAGAAAAGAAGCTCTCATCTGCAGTCAAAAGATGTCAAGGTGGCTTTTTCTAATTTTTTTTTAACGCTATGACCATATATTAATACACATGGCAGAGTGACATGTATTATATTTTTTATATTGAATTTTGCATGTGCCTACATTTTGAAAGTTAGTTCGTAGTTTTTCAAAAATATGTTGCATTTGTATACTCTTAGATTCCACCCCCACCCCCATTAATTATCTCTTAAGCCTTTTACGCATGTAGTTACAAGTTCTAGTTTGAGTCCAGGATGGTTTTCCCGCCAGATACCTATAAACAGAATTTCACTTTATTGCATGATTGATTTTATATCTTATTGCTTTCCCTAAACCCATCAGTTGCACCTGTAGAGTAAATGTTTCTCAAACATATAATACCCCGCGTATATAAACATTACAATTAAATGTAATAAAATAATCGCCTGCATCATGTATAGCGTCTATCTGTAGCCTTTATTTGATATACTGTATTAACAAAGTTAATGCGCAAAATTGCAAAGCAGATGGTGTGTGGCTGAGACCATTTTTTTCGAAATCCTTCACCTGCATTTTTTCCCCAAGAATTTAGAACTTTCACTTATAAAATTGTACGTGTCTGATAGCTTTGCGATTACCCTTACCACCGTCTCATTTTCGATGCTATTTTATTCTACTCAAAGTGGCGCGGAACATTTCAAATTTCCAATCGAACTACACCAGAAATCACGTGATACTCTGATGCTACCGTTAGGTTAACTTACTCTTGCAATATAAAATTAAAATATTATTCGATCGTAATTTTATAGGATTTTTTATTTAATCAGTACTCTACTAAATTTAAAGTAATCAATTTTTTTCAATTCCACTAACAAGAAATTACATAACATTTCCAAAACTTTGCAAGATTTTGACAAATTCCATTACTTTTCAAAGCCCTTGAAATTTATTTTTTAATTCCAAATTTTTTTCCAGGACTCAATGACAAGAGGGAACTCTGTTTAACGTAAAATGAAACCTATAGTCTACTACATGAGTATGCTACTATGCTATTTTTATTCGACTTGTACACGTGTGTCATGCAGTTTAGTATCGTATAATACTGAACGATTCTGACAAGGAATATTTTACAGAGAAAAAGGAGTAAATCTCAATAATGTAAAGTCACACCCTTATTTTTTGTTGGTAATGAATAATTGACTTACACAAATTTACATAAATACACATGAAAAGATTAAATTTTAACTGAAGTTTAACAAAACTCTACGTTATGGTAATTTCAATTTGTATCATTTTAATAAAACTCTACGTTATGGTAATTTCAATTTGTATCATTTTAATAAAGACTGTGATTGCTGCTTAAATACACTACAATTCCAACATTTAAAAAAAAATGAAAACATCTCTCCAGTGCTCCAAGGTAGCTAATTCGTTAATAAGATAAATCAAGCAGATTCAGTAAATTAGGATGTTAGCCCAGTGAGTGCAATATACATGTATACTTGAGCAAATTCGCATTCAATGATGCCTGAAATCACAATGTAAGGAAACCTACCCTAGTTATCGGTAGCAGTTTGGTTCAAAACATCCGTGTTTTCGCCTTCCTATTTAAGCTAGTAAGACGGATATTACAATTTAAAGAGTTTCTTTTATGGCGATAATTAAATAATTTGACAATTTTAAAGATTAGATTTGATCTACATTTAGAACAATTTAATTACATGTGGAAGCATAGGAAACATTTCTACTCCTTAGTGAATTTTAATATTGCCACAGATTTTTTTTTCACAGTTATGAGGGTTAGTCAAATTTACTGTATCATGCTATATGTGCAATTTTATTTATATTAGGTAGGGTCATCAAGAAAGGTGTTGCAGAAAAAATGATATTTCAAAGATATTAAATAGCTGTAGACTTTGCTACTATTGCCCTATATAGTTTGTTTTTATATAATGTGGTTATTCCAAATGAAAACGCTATAAGTGGTACATGTATTACTATTGCCCCATATGAGTAGAGTTCGCTATGGAATTTATTCCATATGAAAATGTCTGAAGGTGCAGCTAATATTGTCCAAAAGACATATTTCACTATGGAGGTTATTTCTAGATGAGGCATGCCATTTGTTTTTAAAAGAACTTTTGTCCAAGAAGTTCTTGAACAGCCATATGGTTTTGTTCCAAATTGTCACTCGATGCCTGAATGCTTTTTGGGGGAATTTTTCATCTGAACGACTGCTCATGTAAATATTGCTTGCAGGTGGCAACAAAGTTGTCAAGTTCCAGATAAGAAAATCAAAATGAAACTAACAAGATAAAAGATAAATATTTATTCCTTACTGTCAAAACATCTATAAAACCTAAATGTTTGCATTATCACGTATGCATGGTAATTTGTGTCTAACCTAGACTATACAAAGGAATTTACATACATACACAACACAGACAAAGTAATCTGTGGCAAATTAGGTAAAGAAGGACTATGGTGCACATAAACAATAAACAAAGGTGATTCAATACTCTAGTGAGATTTCAAGATAAAATAGAGCAGAAAGTAAAGTATTAATTTAAATATGAACTTCTTTTT